AAGTCACTTCTCTCTTCTTGCATTTTAAGCAATCAGGAAGAAGCATGTCACTTCTTCAACATTTTGCTTAGTAAACTCCCCAATCCAGTATCCAATTTCATTGCTCACAACTTCCACTTTCCAGAAAACACTAGAATTGTAATACAATTTAGCCAAGTTCTTTGCCACTTTATAATAAGAATTGAATTTTCTCTATTGTTCAGTAACGTGCTCCTCATTTTCGTGTGTGATCTCACAGAATGGCCTCTGCCGCCCATGTATCGGCCAGAGTTTTTTTCTGCTTAGGACCACTTAGGTTTTCTCCAAGAAGACAGAGGCCTCTTTTCTGTCTGAGCTCTCATCAGAATTGCCTTTACAGTTTGTTTGTTTGTTTTTTCATGACAATCTAGACCTTTTCTAGCATGCACATAAAACTTCCAATCTCTACTCACTACCCAGATGCAAAGCCACTTCCACATTTTTAGGTATTATCCTCACTTCTCTGTACCAATATCCAAGTGGTTAATTAGATATTTATAGGTATACAGAATGAAATTTATTATAAGGGGTTGGCTCATGTAATTATGGAGGCTAAGTCCTATTATCTACCATCTGCAATCTGGAGACCCAGGAGAGCTGCTATAAAGTCCCAGTCTGAGTTTGAACACCCAAGAACTAGAGAATAAGGAGCACAGTGACCAAGGACAGGAGAACACGGATGTCCTAGCTCACATAGAGAACACATTTGCCCTCTTCTGCCCTTTATTCTATTGACACCCTCAATGGATTGGATGAGGCCCATTGCATTGGTGAGAGCAATCTTCTTTACTCAGTTTACCAATTCAGATGCTAATCTCTCCCAGAAATATGCTCACAGATGTACCCAGAAATAATGTCTTACCAGCTATCTGGGCATAGACTTGGTCCTCTCAAGTTGATATGAAATCAACCATCATATATAGTTAATATCGTGTCCTTTATTTCTTAAAGTCTCCTGCTCTTTTCACACAAAAGGGGGAAAATTGCCACGCCCATTGTTGTGAACATATCTAATCACCAATAATTAAAATCCACTGTTTTGGGGAGTGATAATAAATGGTATAACAGACATAAAATTCCATTTTGTTTCGTGGTTTGTTTGTTTTTTATGAGCAGTTCAACTTTTCACTAACACTGGTTCTTACAGGGATCTCTATCACATGGTGAGCTGGGACATGACAAAGGGCATACATTTATAATTCTGCCACTGAATATAAACCCTCAAAAAGTCCCATTGGTTAGTGAAACAAAGCAGGCTTCAGAAATAACATTTTGGATAATTCTACTATTTTTTTTCTGGGAGGTTATAGGAGTGATCAGGTGTTTAACTTTGTTTTTCGATAGTGATTTCTTTTGAAATGCAAGGGAGATGGTTAACTCAAACTCTGACACATCCATGCAATGGAATACTATTCAGCAATAAAATGGACTACTTACTACACATGCAGCAATATACCCATGTTTCCCCGAAAATAAGACATCCTCCGAAAATAAGACATCCTCCGAAAGATAAGACATCCCCTGAAAATAAGATCTAGCACAACTTTGGGAGAAAAAATTAATATAAGACACTGTCTTATTTTGGGGGAAACAGGGTACACTAATTGCAAAAAATTTATTCTGAGAGAAAAAGTCTTTTTTTAAAAGTATGCATATTATATGATTCTGCTTATATAGATTCTAAGACAGACAAAACTAATCTTTGATTAAAAAAATCACAGATATGGTTGCTTTGAGATAGGAGAGGACTGAAGATAAACTGGGAAGGGGTATGAGGGAATTATCTGGGGGTTATATTCTATATCTTGATATAGGTGGTTGGGTAACAGGGGTATATGCACCTCTCAAAATTCACTGAATACTTATGATTTTATTGTATGTAACCTTTACCCCAATATATAAACAAAATAACAGTATACATGCTGAAGTGTTTAGGGGTAAAGTGTACTGATACCTATAATTTACTTTAAATTATAATACCTACGACAATGGATAAATACACAATAAGACAAATAGAGTAAAAAGTTAACTGTAGAGAGTAGCTGGGGATTATTCAAGTGCTCATTGTTCAATTCTTTCAGTTTTCCTGTAGTTTTGAAAATTTTATAATCTATGTTGAAAATATAACTTCAGAATAAAACCTATTAATATTTAAAACCACAAAGGATACCCTGGGTAATGTTGTTTTTTGGTGATGTAATATTCTTTTAAGCACTAACTATGATTAGAGAAATTAAATTTCTTGTCAAAGCTAAATAAGAATTTATTCCATTACCTTTTCTCAAAATGAAGCCTAAAAGAGACATTTAAAATTATGAACACATAAGGATTTCTTTTTTTTCAATTATAGTTTATATTCAATATTATTCTGTATTTGTTTCAGGTGGCTAGCATAGTAAGACAATCATATACTTTATAAAGTGATCCCCCAGTATCTGAAGTACTCGCCTGGCCTTTTACGTAGTTATCACAGTACTAGTGACTGTATTTCCCTATGGTGTACTTTTCATTCCTGTGACTATTTGTGACTCCTAATTTGTACTTCTTAATTCTTTTGTCTTTGAGTCTGTTTCAATTGCATTTGTTCATTTGTTTTGTTCTTTAGATTGCACTTACATATAAGTGAAATCATAAAACACATAAGGATTTCTGAGCTTGCCATATGGCACATGAATGCTTAAGAAATTACGTTTATAATTAAAAACGACTTAGTATTATGTTTTGACTATACATCATTTCAAGTTTTTTTGTTCTTTTGCTGATATCCAGGTTCTGAAATACAAAGAAGGATGATAAGCAGGTGATAGGATTCAGTTAAAAAGCATGTACTATTTTAAAAGAACTCATAAGAAGTATTTTTTAGCCGAAACCGGTTTGGCTCAGTGGTAGAGCGTCGGTCTGCGGACTGAAAGGTCCCAGGTTCGATTCCGGTCAAGGGCATGTACATTGGTTGCGGGCACATCCCCAGTAGGGGGTGTGCAAGAGGCAGCTGGTCGATGTTTCTCTCTCATCGACATTTCTAGCTCTCTATCCCTCTCTCCTCCACTCTGTAAAAAATCAATAAAATATATTTTTTTAAAAAAAGTATTTTTTAAAATCTTCATTTCTGGGTACAAATAATATCACAGGAACTGACTTTTTGTACCATGAGAATTATTAGAATGTAGGGAGCCTGGATTATAATTCAAAATGACCATGGCAGATTAAAATGTATTTTTTTCAAAGGGACAAAATTCAGTACGGACATGTACAAAAGTATATCTTTCAGGACAAAAAAAACCAACAACAAACAAAACAAAACAAAGAAACAAAAAAAGAGGAATGAATCTAGGGTATCAGCATTGCCCATAGTCAGCTCTGCCCACTGATTAGTCACTGTCCCCTGCACTATGATTGGATCCAGCTTTCATATTTAGATAATATGGAGAAATAAGTAAAGGCTTAAAAGGAGCAAGATGGTTAAAATTATGAAAAATGACTCCTCCATGGAAAATCTGAGAGAAGAGGAAATTCTATAAGACTCTTTAAGATTGAAAAGGCCCAAGTTTTGTTTGTTTACCATTTGCTTGTTTACCATTTCCAATTACATACAGTGTTTTCCTGAGGAGATTCTCTGAAAAACTAACAAGGAAAATGGAATTAAGTACTAGTTTGGTTGTTCAAATGGAATAATCTTTTGATTTCAAGGTTGATTAAAATCTGGGATAATTATCAAGAGATGCTATGGGTTCTACATCCCTGGAGAATTATGTAAAATAAACGCAACATAAAGCCTGAGGGTTGGGGCAAACTCAGATGAGCCTTGCAAAGACCTTCCTGGATCTTCTTCTAATGATAATGTTTCACTTCACAGTAAGAGTTTTGAAATATAGCTTGATACTGAGTTACAGTTCTTCTGGGTTTTCTATAAAAAATGGCAACTTTAATTTTGCTTCATTTAAAAATTCACTCTATTGCCCTAGCTGGTTTGGTTTGGTCCAATGGATAGAGTGTCAGCCTGCGGATCAAAAGGTCCCAGGTTTGATTCTGGTCAAGGGCACATGCCAGGGTTCTGGGCTCGGTCTCCAGTGTGGGGTGTGCAGGAGGCAGTCAATCAATGATTCTTTCTCATCATTGATGTTTCTATCTCTCTCTGTCCCTTCCTCTCAAAAATGTACTCTATTAATGTATAACATTGTTAACTATAATTAGCAATACTGCATTGTATACTTGAAATTTGCTAAGGGGTATATCTTAAGTGTTCACGCACAAAAAAGAAAAAATAATAACTACCCATGTTTCCCCGAAAATAAGACCTAGCACATGGAAAGATAAGACATCCCCTGAAAATAAGACCTAGCGCAACTTTGGGAGAAAAAATTAATATAAGACACTGTCTTATTTTTGGGGAAACAGGGTATGTGAGGTGATGGATATATTAATTTGCTTGATTGTGGTGATTATCTCACAATGTATATGCATATCAAAACATAAAGTTGTAACTCAAATACAATTTGTATTTGTAAGTTATACCTATAGAGCTTGGGGAAAAAAATCACTGTAATGATTCTTTTCATTGGATTTGTCTCATAATAAATGATTGCATATTGCTTTGGTGACTATTTGTAACTGCGCTTAATGTTCTTAATTTAGTTTCTGCACTTTATAATTATTACAAGATAATTATAATGTATTTTGTTATTTTCTCTTTAATATTAGAACATTATTATTGGGATGAAATTTTTATGTTTAAATCATTGTATTAATGAGTATTTGTCCTTCTTTGCTAGTTTATCCCACCAGTTCACCATCCAGGGACAGTTAGCACGAACTAAAATAAAAATGTCGTCTTTGTGAATGATTTCTCTTCCTTTGGAAAGTCAAAATGGAAAAACAAACAAACAAACAAAAAAACACACTCTCATTTGCTTTTCCCATGGTAGTTTCTGTTTTTGGTTTCTCCATCTTATTCCATGGCTCCCTTTTATTGTTATATTTTTCAGAGCAAAACTTGCTTCCTGTTGTGACGCTGTGCAAAACTTCATTGTTTCTCAAAATAACACTCCAATCGGGACTAACTTAAGTTACGACGCAGAAAGCAAAAAAATAGTCATAATTACAAAGAACATTTTTGATATGTTTCCAGTGGTGAGTAAAGATTTGTTGTGGTGTCATCATTCCAGGTGAATTTTCTTTCATTTCAAGTTATGATTCATGATAATGAAGGAGCTAATTAATTAAAGTATCGTACTCTGTTGTATAAGATATGAATAGTAGTCCACTTTAAAAGGCAGTTTTGAATGCATGCTGGCTCTGCAGGGGGTGGAATTTATATTTAAAAGATAAACGTTCCCACTTCTTGAGTCTTCATGACTCATCCTCGAAAGAGATGAGGTGCTTGGGATCTCCGCATGGCAATTGCTGGGGCTTGAGAAGATGACCAGTTCTCGCCTGGAACAGGATCCTTCCAATTGCCAGTTTGGGTGACTGAGTCAACTCCTTTACAAAGAACTATGGACTTACGCCGTTAACCTTTGGGAAGCAAATATGTAAGAATTATTGGTCATATAATTGGCCATATAACCCCCATAGATGGGTGTTTGCCTTGTGTGTTTACTGCTGGATACCAAGCTCCTAGAACACTCCCTAGTACATATGCACCCATCACATATTTGTTAAATTAACTGGTGAGTAATGATACACTATCATTACAAGAAGAAATCAGTTCCTTAATATAAATCCAAAGTTGGGGGGAATTTTTGTCAGGAAGGCCAGCCCATGGCTTAAAAACATACACTCTCCGGAATCTTTTGCAATTGATTTTATTAAAAGCAATTAGGGCAAGTCAATATGATCTAAATGGGATCACTTAATATGTGCATTTTACCAACTATAGACTATTAGAGCCTTTCTTACAGCAAATTTATTGTTTGTCATGTAAGTTGAATTGATTACAATTCAAAAAAATAATTTTCTGGGAATAAATGAAAATAAACAGAAAACAGTAGGAAAAAATGTTACTGGAAGAAAAGGAAGGCAAAAAAATAACTCATAAGATATTCTATAACACCCTCAGGAAACATTGAAATACCAATAATTGGAAAGATAGTAACTAAAGTATATTTATATTCCCTATCTTTGAAAGCTGGAGAGAGTTCTCCAAGGAGCAATCCTATCACCCATGCAATTTTTGCTAGTGTCTGTCTGTTTGTTTGTTTGTTTTGTTGTTGTTGTTTTGTGCTTGAGACTGACCAGAACAGAGGAACGGGAGGTATTTCTTGCTTCTAATTGGCACCACAAAACTTAACAGAGGCTGGATAATTCAGTTTGCAATTAGCAACATTCACTTGTCAAATTCACAATTGCTTTTTTAAAATTGGGAGGAGAAATTTCTGATGTCAATTCAGTCACAATTGCAACGCTAGGTAACAGGTTTTTGTTGTCGCTGTTTAAACATCTGGGTTCCATGGCTATGGCTCCTGGGGAAGCTGACCTCTCTCCCACCTTGCTTCCCGCCGGTCTTCCCTGCTCAGTTCTGCTCTGCTGCACTCAGCTCAGAGCTGCTGAGCAACACCGAGATCCCAGTAGCTGCTTTTGATTAAAAGTGGCGAGGTTGCTTTCTCCAAAGACTTTGCTAAGTAACTTGCAAAAGAAAACAACAAAGTTGCTTTCCAACCAGAGTGAGCAATGTGCAGACGCTGGAGTTGGGCCAATTTGCATTTCTTGGGAGGTGTAAGTTAGGGAATGTTGATGTTTGTAATTTATTTTAACTCTTCCTGAACTCTGAGGTACAAAAGCATATGGATGTTTTCCCCCAGTTGACCAAAAAGTCGGAGAAAAACACATGTCATTTTGACTGCTTAATTGGAGATACACTTCCCTCAGTAACCTCTTCTATTGTGGCCTAAAGAGCATATTTGCATTCTACTCTGCCTATAAAATTCAGAATTTATTGTGATACTGGTTAGTAAACACAGTCTTAAAATATTTTGAGCTAGAAGTTTAGTGACTTAAAATTCCTTGAGATATTTGGGAGCAAGGCAGTTTGCTAGGCATTGGGGACATAAAGAGAAAAAAGGCACGCATGTCAGTGTTTTAGGCACTGAATGTGAGGAGCTGTGTAATGTGACACAGATTGCCTGGATTTGAATCCCAGCTCTGCCACTTTCTAGCTTTAACTCATGCCTCCAGCCTCCCAGCGGTAAATTGCTTGTACTGCTGTGTGGGTTAAATGCCTCAACATGCGATGCACTTGGTTGCCCTTGCATAATAAGCACCTTATGATTTTTAACTTTTTAAAAAATATATTTTATTGATTTTTTACAGTGAGGAAGAGAGAGGGATAGAGAGCTAGAAACATCGATGAGAGAGAATCATCCATCAGCTGCCTCTTGCACACCCCCTACTGGGGATGTGCCTGCAACCAAGATACATGCCCTTGACCGGAATCGAACCCAGGATCTTTCAGTCTGCAGGCCAACGCTCTATCCACTGAGCCAAACCGATTTCAGCTGATTTTTAACTTTTAAAGATAATCGAAGAAGTGCTGAAATAGAGCTCTCTTTGCTTGTGAGGCATCTCCCAGGTGCACAGACGGCCGTCACAGTTGTTGTGGGGTCGAACCCTGGGTTCAAAATAAGACCACCGGAGGCTGATGATTTATTTAAAAAAGCAGGCAAGGGTTTATTGAAATATCTGGCCAGGGCAGCCGCAAGAGCACCGCACGCAGGCGGACTCCAAACGACTGCGAGGCTTTAGGGGCAGGTAGTTCTTTTTAAACGTTCTGAGAAGGAAAACCCCTACTCTGCAATAAATTGTTGTTTGGAATTTTCTGCTGTTCTTCCTAGATAAAATGTTCCTTTCTAGTTTGCTTTAGCCCATTTGAAGAATGATGAAGATAAACTTAGCTGTTTGACCTTGTAGGCCTGAGACCAGATATGCCCACAATCTCAATACCATGCCAGGTGCACTTTCTCAATTGGATAGAACAGCATTGTTTTTGAGGCCAGCATCGAGATAACCACTAAGTGCACATAGGGCTGGCTCTTTAATGAAAAAGAAAGTTCTGCCTGTAACCTTGCCCAGAACTTGAACTCATCCTCCCTAAGCCCATCATGCGATGAACAAAGCAAGTCTTTTCAAATTCTCCCCCTGTACCTTCCGACCCGCTCGGGAACTCTGCAACAGTTCAAACCCTGGAATTTTCCTTTGTTCTAAATTCTGAATCCTAAAGACTGCATTCTAAAAACTGGTATTAGCCCGCAGGGTCAATCCCAGTCACATCCTGCTGGACATTGGAATGTGGCCCTATCTTGCAGAAGCAGAACTCAGTGGTTAATCTCCAAAGGTTATGGTCCCAGGCACAGGAAAATTGCCTTAGCAGGGTTTAAAAATTCAAACAGCAGTTTTTACATGAGTTGTATATTCTTACTCGCTTATTTCAACAGTGACTCAGGGTCTTCCCTGTTGCCCAGACCACACTGGCCCCGGGCTGTTGCTAGTTGTGCTGGTAAACTGGCGTTGGGGAGTGGGTGCCCTGACTTGTAGCATTTGCTGATTTTACTAGTAGTGATGTAAACTCCCCCACCGCTGCCGATTTTAACCTACCAGTGGTTTAATAATCCTCTCACAAAACTCCTGAATAGTTACCAGTTGGCTCTCACAAGCTCCTCACAAGTGGGCTTCAGCTCAATGCAAAGGGGTGGGGGGGGACTGCACTAGGTGGGACACTGGGCCAGCAAGCACTTATTTAAAAGTCGTTGCACACATTGCACTATGCTCGGTCTGCAATGCCAGCTGAGGAACAATGAAATGTAATTGAGGACTCACACTCAAATTCTAAAGAGACAAAGGAAGTGAATCAAGACCTTGTCACTGTAGAGTCTGAACTGGCACCCTCGCTGCTGGTCAGAGTCACACCATTCCTTCAGGGAAAGTGACCAGCAAAGTGTCGTGTTGAAATGAAAGGTTATGCTTCTGACTGGGGAGCATTTGGTGACAGTGGGAGTCTTTTGAGGTAGGCAAGTTCGGTCCTTTGGAAAAATTTTAAAAGATTCAGGCCTGGGAAATTAATTTGAACTGTGTGAGTGCAGGGTGAGTAGGCCTCCCTGACATGCTGTGCTGGTCACTTGCGGAGATGGCAGGCATAAATCTCCCATCGTCGCTGAGCCTGAAGGCCTAATTATTTAAGAAGCAGAGGAAATATTGCGAAATTAGTTATTCATTTTCCCCAGCATAAAGGATTTTACACTACTTTCCAACTGCTTTTTTCTGTTTTTTTTGTGTGTGTGTTTTTTTTTTTGCTGAAAATGTTCCTGTTGGTAAGGCACAATGTGGGATTTTGCTATTCTCGCTTTAATTATGTGATGTATGCCCTAACTGGTTTAGCTTAGTGGATAGAGCGTCGGCCTGCAGACTCAAGGGTCCCAGGTTTGATTCCGGTCAAGGGCATGTACCTTGGTTGCGGGCACATCCCAGTAGGAGGTGTGCAAGAGGCAGCTGATCGATGTTTCTCTCTCATCAATGTTTCTAACTCTCTCTCCCTCTCCCTTCCACTCTGTAAAAAAAATCAATAAAATATATTTAATTATGTGATGTAAACTGCATTATACCGGGTCTAGTAATAATTAATGTCGTTTTTAAACATTCGTTTAAAATCTTGCTTGGCGTTGACTTGTATTGACATAACCTTCAAACACGTGGTATCTACAGAACGTGTGAAGTGCAATTAACAAGTTTTGCTTGAAAAAGTTTGTGTTTGGTTTGGTTTTTGTTGCAAAACTAGGGCTAAGAAGATGGCGGATGAAGAGCATATTCGGCTCTGCATGCTTTACGAGTTCCAATTAGGAAGAAAAGCAAGTGGGGCTGCAAAAAACATCTGTAGTGCTCTTGGTCAAGATGCAGTTAGCGCCAGAAAATGCCAGCGTTGGTTTGAGAAATTTCGCGAGGGAAATTTTTCGTTAGATGACAAGAGTGGTCGAGGCCGTGTGTCCAATTTTGAGCAAGAAGCTCTTCAAGCTCTTTTGGTGCAAAATCCTCAAATTACCCAACAAGAGCTTGCGACGACTTTAAATTGTTCACAAAAAATAATTTCCAATCAATTGCGTTCACTTGGCAAAGTCCAAAAGTTTGGAAAATGGGTTCCTCATGAGTTGACCGACAACAACCGTAATCAGAGTCACAATTTGCAGTTCGCTCCTCTCTCGTCAAAACCGTTTGCCGTTTTTAGAGCAAATTGTTACCGGAGATGAAAAATGGGTGCTGTATGTTAATTTGAAAAGGCGGCCTCAATGTTTGGACAAAAATGAGGCTCCGCAGCCCACGCCAAAACCTGACTTGCATGCGAAAAAAGTGATGTTGTGTGTTTGGTGGAATTTTAAAGGAATTCTTCATGATGAACTTTTACCATCTAACCAAAACATTACAAGTGCAGTGTATAGTGCCCAATTGGAAAGGTTAGCCCACGCTTTAAGAGAAAAAGAACCCGCGCTGATTAATCGGAAGGGCGCAATTCTTCACCACGATAACGCACGACCGCATACTGCAAGAATCACTGCTGAAAAACTGCGCCAGTTGGAATGGGAAGTTCTCCCTCAACCTGCATATTCTCCTGATATTGCCCCTGCCGATTACCATTTGTTTTGTTCTTTGCAAAACTTTCTTCTTGGAAAAAAATTTAATAATGAAGAATGCCTCAAAAATGCATTGACCGAATTTTTTGCATCAAAATCACAAGAATTTTACAACAGAGGGATTAAAATGCTTCCTGACCCAGGGGAGCAGCCGGGTCGGGTGCGGCCAGGCCCGGAGCAGCGGCTGCCAGGCTGGGAGCGGCCAGGCCCGGGGGAGCAGCCGGGTTGGGTGCAGCCAGGCCCGGAGCAGTGGCTGCCAGGCTGGGAGCGGCCAGGCCCGGAGCAGCAGCAGCCAAGTCCAGAGCAACTAGGTCGGGAGCGGCAGTGACCAGACCCGGAGCAGCTGGTTGTGGAATGAACCAGAGCAACAGAGGCCAGGCCCTGAGCAGCCAGGCCCAGAACAGCTCGCTCCTTGCCTGCCCCTGCCCCACGGCTGCCTCTCAGACATGGCTGGAAACTTTTGTGGGAACTTGAGGGTCTGCTGAATCAAGTGATGAAGGCTTAGATCTGGATGCGTTGAGTTAGTATAAGGCTGGGGTGTTGATCTGTGAGTGCCTTGGGTGGGGCCTGGATTAGGCTAGTTGACCTATTGGGAAATGTCTTTTGTGTGAAGTGTATCATTGGGCATGTGGAAGTATTATTGATATGAGAAAATGCTAAGTAACTGATTTACTATCTGAAAAGGGATTTACTATTGGGGAAAGGGAGGGAAGAAGAGACTGAACATAAACTGTGCACCTATGGATGAGGACAATGGGGGATGGGGAGGGGACGGAGGGTGGGGTGGGAACCTGGTGGAGGGGGGAAGAAATGAGGAACCTTTGTAATAATACGAATAATAAAGATTGATTTTAAAAAAATAATAATAATAAAATAAAATAAAATAAAATAAAATGCTTCCTGAGCATTGGGCACAAGTAGTAGAAAACAACGGCAACTATATTGTTGATTAAATTTTGTTGTATTGTTCAAATAAATTCGATTTTAAAAAAGGTATTATAAAACGACATTAATTATTACTAGACCTAATATTTTTATATACAAATACGTAGTGTATTATTACATTACATTGTATGTGATGTGCTGTATATTTCTTTGCAGAAAAATAACAGGTTTAGGAGATTTTTTATTATAAGTCTTAAAATGATCAACATGTGCTGGCAGTTACTACTTCTCTTTTCTTGTTCTTCTTTACTTAGTATGCATAAAAATTAAGCTACTTGAATTAAGCTGATAATGTCTATGGTTCTAAAAAAAAAAGCTGTTTCATGGTTGTTTTCACTTTTTCTTTTTTTCTTTTTCTTTCTAGTCACATCCTTTTGTGGAGCGCCCTTACAATCAGTGTGCAGTGGTTGGAAACGGGGGGATTCTGAATAATTCTCTCTGTGGAGCTGAAATAGATAAATCTGACTTCGTTTTTAGGTAAGACATGTTCAGCTGGGTTTTTTTGAACCAAAGTTCAGTTGGAAATTTTACAGGGTTTGTGTAAAGATAATCTGTAAATTTTGAGCTGTGTTGTCTACAAATTAATATTATTATTAATTATTATTTCTTTTGAGAAGTTTTTTCTTTAAAAATGTTTGTTTGTTAACCCTCACCTGGGATATTTTTTCCCCATTGGTTTTTAGAAAGGATAGAGGGGAAGTGGGGAGGGAGGGAGTGAGAGAGAGAGAGAAAGATTGATGTGAAAAACACACACCCAGAGCTGGGCCCGGGATCAAACCTACAATCCAGGTACATGCCCTTGATCAGGAAGCAAATCTGTGACCCTTTGGTCTGGGGGTGGACACTAACCACTGAGAATAACCAGTCAGGGCCTACACTACAAATTATTTTGATAGGCTTTCCCGCAGTGCTGAATGGATCATTAGTTCTTCTGAACATGGATACCAGAAGGATACAAATGCTCTGTGATCCTTTACTTTTCAGAAGCTCTGGGCGAAATCCCGGTGAAGGGGGTCTGCATGGCAGGATCTGTGTCTTAAGGGCTTCATGGCTCCGTGAGAGGCCGCCATGGAGCAGCATTTCCCAGCTTCACCTGACCTTGAAACCCTTTTTGTGCTTTTTTTTTTTTTTTTTTTTTTTTAAAGAGCATTTTAAGGAAGTTTTGTTCCCAGATAATACTTGAGAAAATGCTGAAATGGGCACTGTTCATACGACCAAGCCACATTCTTGTTTATTTAGTTTTCTGAGTTGAAATTTAAAAAATTTGTGCAGGTTTTTTATTATGCTCTTTAAAATCTTTATATCTTAGTACCAGCTAGCTTGCAAAAGTAGAAACAAAAGTGGTTTCCATGAGTGCCTGTATTCATAAACCATGTTACAGGATATCTCTGTTTCAGAATATGAAGGAAAGGTGATTTATTCCTTTCTGTTGAAATGCACTTTTTTTTTCCTGTTGAAATGCACCTTTTAAAAATATTCACATATCTTTATTGATCTTTAGAAATAAAGGAAGGGAGAGAGAAAGAGAAACACCGATGTGAGAGCAAAACATCGATTGGTTGCCTCCTGCACCAGGAATCGAACCAGCAATGTTTTGGTGCATGGGAAGATGCTCTGTCCATGGATAACAGTTTGGTGAAGGCCAAGGGAGGGAGAGGTGGGGTGGGCAGAGGTGGGCAAAGAGTGGGGGAAAGGGTGACACCTACAATTATGGAAACATTAAAATTTTAATTAAATAAATTGAAATAAAATCATTGCATTGTACACTTAAAAAACAGTAAATTGGAATCTGGTTTCCTCTTTCAGGAACACTAATTTAAACATCAGAGAAGACCTTTTGATCCTTATCAATTCAATGTTGCCTTTTTTTAGCAAATAAAAAAAAAGTGATCCATAGTTTCTCCCTCATTTTAATCTCATTTAAAATTTTTATGCTGAAGTTCATGACAGAAAAACAGACCCAGCAGTTCAACAGTTAAAGGGTGTGTTCCTCATAAAGAATGTTCAAATAGCCAGTATCTGAATGATTAGCCATTTGGTTGAAGTACTCAGTACTAAAAAGAGCCATCATGAAGATATATAATTCTTATAAAAGACTTTTTATAAACTTAAAATTTCCAAAACATCTGTGGTATCATTCCTAAACATCCATTTGACTTTATGCAAATATAGAAAATACTAGTCTAGTTTTAAGTTTCTAAAATCTTAACAGTTACTAATTTATAACTTTAAAATAAATGCATGTATTTCTAGAGTCTATATTTGCTGATGCCAGGCATTTTTCTGCATATAGAGTTCCCTTTGAAGTTTGCCTTTCAAAGCAAAAGGCAAAATAAGAGCTAGACCTGATTGGTGTCATTAAAATTTACTTAATTTTTAAGTTTGCACTTATTTTAGATGTACATTTTATAAAACAATCTGGAAAGTGCTTACTATTACTTTATTTTCATTTTAAAAGATTGGGAGCTACAAGTTAAGAATGTAAGGAACAAAGATAGGGGATGAGAGGCTTTCCTATACTGATATATAGATCTCCAAACCCAGTATTTCCTCTAGAAATCTCCTTTGATACTATTGTATGTGAAAATTACCTTTTATTCTTCAACAGAATATGAGCCTGCCCTAGAAAGTAGATTTGTTACAGGAGCCCCACTAATGGGGTCATTTCTGATCTATTATCTATGATTAGTATTATTCCAAAGTGCTATATTTGATTGTTTTCAGATAAATCTTTTTATCAAGGTGGGAAGTGCTTGTTTCATTTGTTTGTATGCTTAATAGAGCATGTAATAGAATTTTCAACTTCATTAATTCCTCAGAACACATAAACTTTCAGTAGCCTTCCTTAGGGAAATACCCAGAGATGCTCCCTTTGTATAGTTTTAAAGAATTGGTCTACTTGAAATTCTGTAAACCATACTTAGGGAGTCATAGCTAATTTCCCCTTTTTTGTGTGTGACAGGAATAGAATTACTCAAAATTACAATTTGTAATTTGTTTTGCAATTTGAAAAATTAGTACTCAGGATAGTATTAAACATCATTATAAGAATATTAGGGTTTTATTTATTAATAGCATAATTTGGTGGGAAAACTATCCATATGGAAATCAGGAAATTTTAATTTTTTTTCAATGTAATCTTTGTTGCGGCAGATTCTATCACCTTCATCACAATGCCTCAATATTTTAAAATCTGTAAATTGGTGATTATACCACTGTGAGAATATAATCAATATAAATAATAATTTTAATCAGAAGAGTGTGAACTCTTCAAAAGCTAGGCAAGGTTTAATTGTCAGTTCTAGCATTGTTACTTATAAAGGTCTTAATCAATGTTGAAGTCATTTATCAAATTTGTATATTATATGCAATGCTGAATCAACAAGGAGTTCAATACTTATTAATTAGTTTTAAATGCAAATTGGGTGAATTCTGAGGAACTCTTAACATCAGTGTTTTTCTTAAAAAAAAAGTGATAATGGGCAGGAAGGTGGAGAATGTGTAGGACGGATAAATGGTGGTAGACGGAGACTTGACTTGGGGTGGTGAGCATACACAAAAAAATGTACAGATGATATGTTGTGGAATCGTGCACCTGAAACCTGTGTAATTTTATGAATCAGTTACCCCAATAAATTCATAAATTAAAAAAAATGACATCTCACATATGTATGAATGTATTTTATTTTTTCAAGTTGTATTTTGAAAATAATTTCTTCAAAATTTCAGGTGTAACCTTCCCCCAACAACAGGAAATGTTAGTAAAGATGTTGGCAGTAAAACCAACCTTGTGACCATAAATCCCAGTATCATAAGACTCAAGTAAGTATCTCCAACTTATACAACAGTTCAAGAACATTTGTTCATTGTTTAGCATGTTTCTTAATCTGAGCACCAATCTTTTTTTTGTTGTTGTTAAAATATATTTTATTGATTTTTTTTACAGAGAGGAAAGGAGAGGGATAGAGGGTTAGAAACATTGATGAGAGAGAAACATCAATCAGATGCCTCCTGCACACCTCCTACTGGGAATGTGCCGGCAACCGAGGTACATGCCCCTGACCGGAATCGAACCTGGGACTTTTTAGTCCGCAGGCCAGTGCTCTGTCCACTGGGCCAAACTGGTTAGGGCTGAGCACCAATCTTATTGCTGAGACTGACTTGCAATACAGCTGGCATGACTTTTGGGGGAAATATATACATTTGTAATTTTTGAATTTCTATCAAGGTTGTGGCTCATAAGAAGTCATCATCAGTTGTACTTCTAATGTCATAAGCTGAATATTGCTCATCAAATGAAAACTTTGTTTCTTCATCATTTTTTATAGAAGTGATGTTTTTTAGTTTTCTTTCAGAATTTTAGTGTTACTCTTTTATCTTGATAGTACTTCATTGATAAAAATAATCTATCTGGAAACTTGAGATAGCAAGCCTTAAGAGGTCCTGGCTCAATTTGATTTTCACTTTGGATAGTATAATACTAAAGAATTATCCCCATGATTCATTTTCCACATGTAATTACCATAAAATGGTTGGTTAATAAAAATTCCATGTAGTAGTTTTGCTGTATTATTTAAACCAAAAGGGACTAATAATAATTATTACCGTACTAGAATACACCCCTTAAATAGTTCTGGTATCTGTTAAGAGAATATAAGATACTAGAGGCCCAGTGCACGAAAATCATGCACTGGAGGAGGGGGGCCTGCACCCTCTCCCATTCTGGAATTCCTTGCTCCTTACTGCCTGCCTGCCTGCTTGCTGCTCCTTATTATTGCTCCTTAGTGCTGCTGCAGAGGCAGAAGGGGCACCCACTATCCCTGCTGCATTCGCCAGCCATGAGCCTGGCTTCTGGCTGAGCAGTGCTCCCCCTGTGGGAGTTCACTGACCACAAGGGGGGCAACTTCTACGTTGAGCATCTGCCCCCCGGTGGTCAATTTGCATTAAAGCGGCTGATTGTTCCAGTTGTTCTGTCATAACTGTCGCTTAGGCTTTTATTATATAGACTGTATCTGAAAGGGTTAAAGAGAATGAGATGGAGCAAAGGAAACGTATTGTGCTTAGCAGATATCTTGCAGAAAGCGTGCACCCTGAACACTGCACAGCCCAGATAACCACTAGGCATCTGGTAATGGGAGGAACAAAGGACTAGATGGACCCTTACGTCAGCAGCACTGTTTGCAGCCAGCAGAAGTCAATAAAAACCCGCCTCCCCCTTCAGTCTCTGCTGATTCTGACTCAGCCCACCTGCACCCAGGTGCCTGAAATAAAAGTTCTTTGGATACATTATGGCCTCAAGTCACCGGTGCATGATCCAGGCCACTCCAAACCTTTCAGTATCTTTCTCCCAAAGGCTTACTTTCAAAATACACAACATCGTGTAATTATTTAAATTGAACATGTAAAGCTATCACAGTTAGAGTGGAGGGAATTTTAAAAATGTGTGTATTTATATTAGGTTTTCTAAAGGAAACTTTTCTTTATCACATGTTCAAAAAATACACAAATCACAAGAATACAGCTTGATGAATTTTTAAAAATGTGTCGATATTTTAAGAAAGTCCTACGTTTGAGAAAACATTTCATCCTTATAGACATGGAAAGTGTTTCAGCATCAAAAAAGCAACCTTAGATGACTGAGATAGAAGATCAGAGAATATAAGAAATGTGTGTCCAGTTAAGGGTATGGCCCAGTAAGAAAGTAGGAATTAAATCCTAAAAATACCAAGAGAAGAAATTCAGGCCTAGCTCTTTATATTTACAAGACACTTACTGTGAGTTTTTTCTGAGTCTATGGCTTGTCTTTTTATATACAGTGATATGCATGGTTCCTTTTTTTTTCTTTTTGGCTAGAGGTAAATTTAGCCTTTGTTACCAAAACCACTGCTTGGATGAAGATGATTGATATTATTATTGTTACTATCACTATTAAATCTGGCAGATATGGGAACTTAGAGGAGAAGGAAGCAGTATTTCTAGCAGACCTTGAAGCCTACGGGGATGCGCTTCTTCTACTGCCAGCGTTTTCCTTCAGGGCCAACCTCCTTCCCTCTTTTAAAGTGTACAAAGCACTGGAAGAATCTAAGGCAAGACAGAAGGTTATGTATTTCCATCCCAAGTACCTGAGGAACCTTGCCCTCTTCTGGAGAACTAAAGGCGTGGTAGAGTACCGTCTGTCCTCTGGGTTGATGATCACAAGTGTGGCCATTGAGCTGTGTGAGAACGTGAAACTGTATGGATTTTGGCCCTTCTCCAGAACCGTGCAGGACACACCTGTCAGCCATCACTACTATGACAACAGTTTACCTAAACGTGGTTTCCATGAGATGCCCAAGGAATACAGCCAAATTCTCCAACTTCACATGAAAGGAATCCTCAAATTACAATTTAGCAAGTGTGAAATAGCCTAACCAACGTGACTTAAAATGGGAGTAGTTTTCATGTAATGCTATAGGTGGGTCACAATATTCGAGAACCTCAAAAACGGGTGATTGTAGGGTGTAATGGGAGGAGCCCCAATGCTTAGTTTGATCAAAGCTCCCCACAAATTGTGCAACTTCAGCCACTCATTCAGCTCTTCTGATCTTCCGTTTCCCTGACTGGACAGTGGGGACCAGGCTATCTAACTCATATTAGGAAAATGAGAAAATCTATGAAAACTCTTGGCAAGCTATTTGCCTGAGTTAGGTACTCAAAGTCTGTTTCCTTTTGATAGTTACAACATTTCTGCCCTCACCAGACTGATAATGAAAGGTATGCTGTTTGGAGAAACCCTTTCTGGAGAGAACACTCAGTATTCACTGAGGTTGTTTCTCTGCTGGCCTCTCTCTTACCAAAACTCTCCTTCTCTTCTTTCCTCGTGTCTTAAAGAGTGCATTTAAGAACATTATGTACTAAAACAAGAAACCTTTGAGTATTCAGGAACGAAATCCTTCTCTTTGTATGCTAATGTGCCTGTTTCTGATTACATTCACTGTGCCACTCGCTGTGATGACTGGTATTGGTTGGAAATTTGGGGCCAATTCTTTTTCTACATTTTAAAATCATTTTTCAGTTTGACTTCTTCACTCTTAAGTCTTTTCCTTTCTCACTCACAGGATCTACTTCAAGGATAGGAATGGTTACAATGTCCAGTTTTTCTTACTTGTTGACTTATCCGTGCCCTCCCTTAATTAATTTTTTTAAAAAAATCATTGAGCCCTAACTGGTTTGGCCCAGTGGATAGAGCATTGGCCTGTGGACTCAAGGGTCCCAGGTTCAATTACTGTCACGGACATGTACCTTGGTTGTGGGCACATCCTCAGTAGGGAGTGTGCAGGAGGCAGCTGATTAATTTTTCTCTCTCATCGATGTTTCTAACTCTATATCCTTCTCCCTCTCTGTAAAAAAAAAAAAATCAATAAAATCTATTTTTTAAAAATCATTGAATAGCTACTTCATGCCAACCCTGTAACAAGCACTGTGAGGGGGAACGGAGGTCCTGCAGGAGGAAGCGGACATGCATGGCATCACCGTGATCGGGTGTGACAAATGCTACTACAAGAGCTATGAATAAAGAATTGTGAGGAACAGAGGCAGGAATAATGAAATCTACTTCGTAGAATCTATTTCAGAGAAGAGGTGATTTTTGAATCAAACCTAGAAGAGTAAGGTTTCAGAAAATGAAGATAATTCTGGGTAGAGGGAATAGGATAGGGGAAAAAACTGTCCCCTTGATTCTGATTCATCAAAACTAGCACATTTGAAGGCAGGTTGTGTTCTTTGCTCCAAAGAACTGTCCCAGGAGGGTAGGATACAAACTGTGGTGAACTCCTTTGGGCCCACACCTGTGACATGGGAATGAGGCCAGCCTGACAGATTTTACAGGAAAGCTGTCATGATTAAAACATGAAAACTTAATTCTCATAAGGAAAGGGGTGTGCTCACATGAGAAATAAGACTAATCACTTAGTCTAAAATGAAGCTTGTGTAGATATGGAATATTAGCATTTTTACACCATTCCCTCCCATTATGATGATACCTGGAGGTTGCAGGGCTGGGTGAAAAAGGTGAAAGGATTAAGAAGAAACAGAAAAAAACAAACAAAAACATATATATCAATCCCTGTATCTACTGAACAAGTTATTTAACTTAAATAATTATGTCACAGGATAGTGAGAGGCTAAGAAAATTCTATGGCAGAAGGGTTAGGGAAACTCAGATAAGAAAATTAAACAAGACCAAACAATTTAGAAAGCTTTCAGCCAAGTTGTAGCAAAACCTTATCTTGAGAACAAATGGCTAATACCTCTTCTCGCTAACCAAAGAATTCAGTAAAGAAGGGGGAGTATTAATGCCCCCTTTCCTTAACCAGAGGATGAGTAAATCACCCTGGAACTGCTAAGGCAGGAGGAGGGAAGGGGGAGGAAGAAGGGAGAAATTTATCTCGCCCACTAAACAAAGAAGTCAGCTGTTTGGAAAGGAGAAAAGAGGAGGGAGTTTTCATCTCCCTGTTTAAACAGAGAAGCCAACAGTCTTGGGGCTTGTCACAGACAAAATTACCAGATGCTTCTCATAAATTCTGGGAAAGCCATAGCAAAGTAAAAGGGAGATGTTAAGAGTTCATCTGAACTAGATATCCAGCAGAGGAATTTAAAAACCTGTAGACAGAAAAATATAAAAAGCCAAACCTCTGCCAGGCTCACTTCTCAGACCAGCTGGGAAGCCCTTCTGTGTTTCATAAGCCAAATATATAGATTTGCTTGCCTTGCTTCTTTAATAAATTTACTTGCTTTACTTCTTTAACAATTGGTTTTACTACAATGAAATCGTTGTCCCAGGTCACTCATTTGAATCCCTTCCTCCAAGACTCACAAAAGCGGAGGCCACGGCCCTCTGCCTTCAACTCCTGCGGGTGTCCAACCCCTTTGCTGGTGCCTGTGACAATTGCAGGCATGCTTTCCTGCTTGACTTCCTACCACCTCCAGGTGAGCGGAAGTAGGAGTGGAGTAGACTGGGCAGCATGTTGAATTCATTACAAATCTAACACTAAATTCTTACCTTAGCCAGATTGTGGTTTTACTAAATGTTGGCTGATAAGAACACTCTGCTGTAAATTGCTTATTTTGATAAAGTACATCTTTAATTTTATTATGATGCTCGTCTCAGATCACATTTCCATTTGTTCTTCCTAGCAAATGATATCCATTATGGCCATAAATTAATTAAAAGTTCATATGTAAGTATTTTAAAAAAAAACTTTTAGCTACATAAAGTCTAATTCATTTATCTTCCTTCTCATGGTGATGAATAAGTGGCTGATTTTTTACTGCTTCTAATGCATTTAATTAGCTTTTAAAAATATGCTAGCAACATTGGTAATGTCTATATCATGTTACTAGCAATGGATAGTTAAAAATAGATCAGAGCATCAACCGAAGGACTTGTATACATACATATAAGTACAACCAATAGACATAAAACTCTGGAGAGGGAGGGTATGTTTGGGAGGGAGGGAAGGAGGCAAAAAAAAAATCAATAAAATATATTTAAAAAAATAGATCAGAGAATTCTGATACTTTAAAGTTAGTGAAATGTTTTCTGATGAGTAAGGACTTAAATTTTTCACTTTGATGGTATTGGAAATAGATAATTGATGAGTAAAAGTAATAGAATATACTGAAATAAATAAATATATAACATGGAGACTTTATTAGTTATTTTAATACATATGATTAGGATAATCATGTAATAAGTTACATATGATTAGGATAATCATATATTAAGTTACATATGATTAGGACATTTAGAGCTTGCTTAAATTTTTCCCAGATAACTCCCTATTTTAATTTTGTAAGTTTCTCCTGGAATATCAAGACAATATATTTAATGACACTGATCAGGATTTCATAAATATTCAAAATGATATGAGACTAAAGCGCAATATCCGAATGAAACCTATGTCTGAGTAAAAGTTCAGAAGAAAACAAATGTTTAACCTGTGGAGAAAATTGTAGACCCACCCATATGGCACAGCTAAAGTTGATTTCTTGTTTAACACTGATCTTAACATTTGTATTATCGTCCCAACTGCATGTCGAAATTATACAACAGTCCCAGTTAGATTCACATTAGCCAAAAGTCTTTGGTTAAAAAAACCCAAAACGTGTATCTTTTGTCTCTGTTTCCCAGTGGATCTGTAGCAGTTGTGGAATCTCAACACCTTGTAGTTATCGCCATGAGTGGAAATTCTCCTTCACCTGCAGTTGGTGGCTGTGGGGAAATAGACAGAGTGGGTGCCTTCTTCACGTGGTGGCGTTTCCTCCCTAGCAGAGGACGGCCTTCCCCGTGTTCACTGTGATGTGCCGATAATGTTCTTTTCCTAAACTGAATTTTTTCCCTAAAATAAAATAGAACATGAGTTTTTATAATGTAATATATCAACTTGATATGAGCATGGTAAATCAAAAGTCACAGTCCTTTTTGTTCTGAAATGGTGAATTATTACAAGTTTTTGTGTGTGTTTTTCCCACCAAGATCAAAACAGAAAGAAAAGCTACATCTATAAATCTGCAAGCTCTCCATCTTGTAGATTTACAGATGAACCACTACCAGGTCAGACAGTAACACTGTCAAGAAATCTTCCGGGGTAACGAGTATTGCTTAAATGTTGTTAGCACGGTTGGATTTGATCATCTGCTCTTAAACATCAAGTGCATCCATGGACATTGAAGGGAGAAAGCCTGAGCACTGCTGGTAGAGACTACTGAACCTTTAGTTCAGACCCAGGCTCCTAACACCCGAAGCCACCAATTCCTAAGGGAAATACTGGCTTGCTTCATTCTATTTCCTGCTTGTCGTGCAGCATCACTGGGCGATGTAACTGAATAATGACAGTCATCCAAAAGTAAGGCAGAGATAGCCATTGAAGCAGGTAGTCCATAGTGCTGTCTAGTCTTTGGAAAGGACTCCAGAGATTTAAGTTTCACCTAATAGACCAGTCCTTGAAGTTTTTCTCTGGAGTTTTTCCCTCCTAACAAAAGGGAAAGGCACATAGATTGTGACTGTCATGAAAGAAGATTTCTTTCTGCATGTAAATTCTAACCCAGTAAATGTGTGGGCTCTCAGCCAGGTAATCAGCCAAGGACATTTTTTGGAGGACTTTCTATCTATAGCATACTGAATTAAGCCATAAATCAGATCCATTTGGGGCTAGATTTTTTTTTCCTTCGCCGACAAAAAATTTACCAGTCAAATACACTATCATGTCAGGTACCTTAAATCATTCCATGAATCTCAGGAACCTTTGGGAAATTGGAAAATTTTGTGGATAACAGCCCCGGTCGTATCCTGAACAGCTACTGCAGAAGGATAGTTACAACAAAACATTTTATTTATGTAAGGTGACATGAAACACATTGTTATGCTACT